TTTGTTTTAAAAATAAGACGTTTAGTGCCTTTGGTGAAGTTTTTGCGCTTAACATTGGGGTGATACTGAAATTAATTGATATGCAAAAACTAACTTTGTTGTTTTTGAAAATAAAGACATATGATTTTCAGCAAAGTTGCTGAGTTGTAAGTCTTGTTGAAGAAACAGCTACCACTTATCGTTCTCATTATAGAGTATTTTTTATGAATTGAACAGTAGCTGAAACATTTAGGTTTTAAACTCTAAATATATATGTTTTGTTCACTATTTTATTTGATAAGGCTCAATCAAATCAACTTTCCAGAGCCGAGGTTTCTTGTTCACTATACAAAACATCTTATATACAAACATTTAGCATTGATGTTCTTCGCTCGAACATGCGCGCATCCTGCTGTGTTCTCCTTGATGGTTTCAACCTGCATGGCCTAACGCAAATCAACTCGATACTGAATAGCAACTCTCGGCTGCTTGATCTCGTTCTGGCGAACGATGCTGCAGGACTGGAATGTTGTATCTTAGAAGCCTCAGAGCCTTTGATTGACATCGACACCAATCATCCTGCGTTGGAAGTTTCTATCAACCTATCTGTTCCTGTTCGCTACGATAACCCCTCTGTTGATGTACATGAGCTCGACTTTCGTAGAGCAGATTTCATCGCGCTGAGTCAGTTGGCAGTTCCTTGACACGTGTTCATCTATTGATGAAGCCGTCAACTACTTCGCTGAGGTCGTTGGCCGGGCAATAACTAATTCTCTCCCATTGAGGAGACCCTTTCCCAAACCCGCATGGTCCAATGCTCGACTACGGAATTTGAAGCGTCTGAGATCGAAGGCCCTCCGTAAATACTGTAGTACTCGTAACCCATTCACCAAACGATTATTTTCAACAGCGAGTAACGAATATCGCACATATAACCGCATTATTTACAAGAGCTACACAAGGCGTGTGCAGGCTAATTTACGGCTTAATCCAAAGCAGTTCTGGTCATTCGTGAATACCAAACGAAACGAGGAGGGGCTACCAGTCGAAATTCACCTGGGTGATAGAATCGCCAGCAATTCCCCTGAGAAATGTAATCTTCTGGCAGAACATTTCAAAGACATTTTCAATGATACTACCGCTACGTTGTCCCAAGTTGCTGAAGGGGTGAGGGACACTCCCAGTGATGCTTTCAATTTTTCGATTACCTCGGTTACAGTAAACCTGGTCGAATCCGCCATCAAGAAGCTGAAATTTTCTAATGCTGCTGGCACTGACGGGATCCCCTCAAGCATCCTGAAGCTATGTTGTTCAGAGCTTAAAACACTGCTTTCGAAGCTGTTCAATAATTCATTACAGCAGGGGGAGTTCCCTACACGTTGGAAATCGTCATTCATGTTCCCGATCTACAAGAAAGGAGACAAGAGAAACGTCGAAAATTACCGAGGGATTCTCTAGCTGCAGAAATTACAGAAATTTCTCCTGACCAACACGGTTTTTATCCCAAGAGATCAGTTTCAACAAATGTAGCTCCGTTCATTTCTTTATGTCTTCGGAGTATGGAAGCTGGTGGACGTTGTATATACAGATCTTAAGGCTGCATTCGACCGGACTGACCACTCCATACTGCTAGCTAAACTTGAAAAACTCGGTGTATCCTCGGGTTTAACTCGTTGGTTCAAGTCCTATCTGACCAATCGGGAACTTTGTGTTAGAATCGGATCAGAGCAATCGGACTATTTTACAAACAGCTCCGGTGTTCCTCAAGGTAGCAACTTGGGACCATTGCTATTCTCGATTTTTGTGAATGAGACCGGACTGATCCTCCCAACTGGTTGCCGATCGTTCTATGTGATTGTTCGTAGCTTCGCCGATTGCTTGCGGCTTCAGCACCTAATCGATACTTTCGAAGAGTGGTGCTCAAGAAACTATCTCACGTTGAATGTACAAAAATGTAATATTAAAGGGTGTCCACGATGAAATTGCCACACACAAAATTGATTCGCAAAATTCGAGTTTTCATCCGATTGCCATCAAATTTTCAGGGATTGAGAAATAACTATTAAACTTCATTTTACCATTTTACTCGTATTTTATTTACAGTCCATACGCAAATGCCCGCACCTTGGCCTTAACCCCGGCCATAAGATTCTGCACAACCTGTAAATCAACCGTTTTTTGCATGTAAACCCATACTTTCTTCAGTTCCTCGACTGTCTTCACTACCTTAGGTCGTTTAAGAAGGTGCTGCTTCATAATCGCCCAGTACTTCTCGATGGGGCGGAGCTCCGGAGTGTTGGGAGGCTTGAACATTTTCGGCACGAAATTGACCTTATTGTCCGCATACCACTTCAGCACGTCCTTGGAGTAGTGGCATGAGGCCAAATCCGGCCAGAAGATTGTTGGGACGTTGTGGGCCTTCAGGAGAGGAAGCAGCCGCTTCTGGAGGCACTCTTTTATGTACACCTGTCCGTTCATCGTGTCCTGGGTCACGAAAGGTGCACTCCGCTTCCCGCACGTGCAGATGGCTTGCCAAACCAGGAATTTCTTCGCAAATTTGGACATCTTCTGAGTGCGGACATGCTCCGGAACGCTGAAATTATCCTTGGCCGTGAAAAACAGGTTGCCGGGGATCTGTTTGAAGTCAGCCTTCACATATGTTTCGTCGTCCATGATGCAGCATTCAACTTTCGTCAGCATGTTGAGGTACAACTTCCTGGCACGGGTCTTGGCGGACTTGTTCTGCTTCTCGTCGCGATTAGGGGCCTTTTGTACCTTGAACGTTCGAAGCCCAGCCTTAGTTTTGGCCTTCTGGACAAAACTTCGGCTTAGGTGCAGCTTCTTAGCCACATCCCTAACGCAGGCGTTCGGATTTCGGTTGAAGGCCCCAACTACGCGGTTGTGATTTTTGGTGTTGTACGGAATACTTTTTCCTTCACTTCTGGGCTTCCGATCGGTGGTCAACCGTTCCTCGAACCGCTTAATCACTCGCGACACCGTGGAATTAGCGATTCCCAACGTTTTAGCGATGGAACGATGCGAGAGATCCTTGTTCTCGTGATGAATGCGCAAGATTTTATCACGCACGAGCTGTTCTTTCGACTCCATTTCCGCGAGTTTTGATCACAGGACTTTAAAACTTGCAGGATGTAAATAATGCACTATGAACTAAATCCACCCAAATTTTCATCAAATTCTACCCAACGGTTAAAAAGTTAGAGCAATTTCATAGTGTGGCAATTTCATCGTGGACACCCTTTATATATGTGGCACATTTCAAGGAATGCAAGTGTATTTTTGTTGTTGTTTCGATCAACTCTCGATTACTTTTTCAAAGAGACTAGGGGAGGGTAGTACCTGAAACATTTAATTTTTTAGCTCTAAATCTTTAGTTTCTCGTGAAAGTAATCTTCAAGTGATTTTGAGAAATTGTTAAAACGCCGAATATATATGTATTATTTGAAAGCTTATCTCCACGAGTCTATTTGTTTTGTAAAAATGTAAGAGGTTGTATCTAAGACACCACCGTAGATTCGACGTACTCGGTATCAATATTCGGCGACTGTGTTAGTGAAACCACTTTTTGCAGGCAATCGGTGATAATTTTGATCACCATTGCAACAGTTGGACATTTGTGTAATTTTCAATAATGACCTATTGAAAATTGATAAAGTGTTCATTTTATTATATTATATATTTTATATTAGATTCGTAGAAAAATTTCCAAACGATAGGCTTGTTTAGAATTAAAATCCATCCGCTATTGACAGAGTTGTAAGTGCTCAAAACCTGACCACTGTTCGTAGCACGGTCGATTTTCTTTTTTTTTATTGCACCTCCAATATGTTGCCGAATGACGTAATCCTACGTCAAAAAATGTGTCTGTATATTTTTCTATAAATTCGCGTCGTCAGTAGTGCCGGTTGCATCGTGTGATGGGGAGGCAGCGCTCCCGAAGCAGGCTCCGAGAGAAAGCGGAGAACAAGAAGAACAGTTGTGAGGGTCGTTCGAGTGTACCTATCTCAAATAGGTACGCTACTCTTCCCACCGATGTTGGGAATACAACACCAGTGATAACGCGGACTAAGAAGAGAAAGAAGCGGATGCGACGATGTCACCGCGATTTGGTGATTGTCAAAATTCAAAAGTGACAGTTACGTTATATGGAGGTAGGTTTCTGTAACACACTCCATAAAGATATATTTATGCCTGTTTTGATGATACTGTCGAACGCTGTCAGATAATTTGTTTAGCATTAGCATCAGTAGTCTGCATGAGGATACCCCAAGATCCTTAGTTTGGCAGTATACGAAATACTCTCGATCAATTTAAAGCTTCATTCCAGCAGTTAAAATGACGTTTACTACCACACGAACTTTAAAATAAAACAATATTTAGCTAAAATTTGGGCGTTTCAAAAAGAATGATAATTTGATGTTCCAGTTTTGTGAAATCGCTGGTAGAAAGTAACGTTAAAACTTTTTGAACAAGTGATCCGTACAAAGTTCACTTTATTCCACACATTGAGATCAATTGATAAGTTGAAACTGAATGGAAGCACAACGTTGTAATCTAATAAGCTGTGAGACCCTAACCCTCTACTGCCCAATCTCACTTCTTTTGCTGGGATGAACGCAATGAGATGCGTCAAAAAAAGTTATTTTTGTTCAACAAATCCATCATCAGTCAGATTATTGGGGATGAACTTGAATTCTAATTTCAGCGGAGACATTATGGAAAAAAATCATAAGTAAAACACTCACGATATTTAAATAAAAACCGAAACAAAAATCATTAAAAAAAGAACTGTATTGATCTAGTTCAAAATAACACGTAACTATTTATTGATTTAATAAACATAATAAATTAAAACCATAATCCGGACAGTTGAGGGTTAAGCTGCCAATATAGCGCCCCAACTGGTTGTTTTTACTCATTCTTATCTGTGTATACATTTCAGATCCCGAGCAAACCTGTTTTAGATGTGCCATCTCCGCAACAGTATCAACAACCCAAGAAGTTAATTCGTGAACAGTTGCAGCTTGTCCTCCATCGCAATCGGAACGGTTTCCTTCAACATGAGCATCTTTGAGTTGTTCGTGATCTTCAGTTCGTTTTGTGTGATTCGAAGTGATTTCATCGACGCATCCTACCAGTGCGGAATTCGGAAGCATTCATTCGTCCAGCTGGTGCATCGCGGATGGAAAGTGGAAGAAGGTCAATGGCCATGGCACGTAGCCATGTTCCACAAAACGGGTAGCAGTTCCCGTGAGTACGCTTGTGGTGGTACTTTGCTAGACCAGAAACACGTCCTGACGGCAGCCCATTGTGTCGTGAATCGTGATACCCAATATCCATTGCCAGCAGCCAGCATTGAGCTCCATTTTGGGCAACAAAATCTCTCGAAGATGACTGATCATACGCAGATTCGAGACGTCAGCAAGGTTCACATTCATCCGGAATATTCCACGCATCGGAATGATGTAGCAGTGTTGGTCATAAGATTGCCAGTGGAGTTTACGGACTTTGTTATCCCGATCTGCATGGATCAACGAGCGGACAGAGATCTGCGGAATTTGGAAGGTCAACGCGGTTGGATAACCGGTTGGGGAACGACGCAGAGTGGTGCCATATCGGATGTACTTCGGACGGCCTCCATGCCAGTAGTTAGCTATCTTCAGTGCTTCAACGATGATCAAACGCTATTCGGGAACATACTGAATCCGAATGTGTTCTGCGCTGGTGATCGTAACGGTGAAATTTTTTATTAGTTTTTGAAAGGTATAGAAATAATCTGAGATGTATCATTTAGGAACCAGTCCTGGCACGGGGGACAGTGGAGGTGGAATGTACTTCAATGAAGGGGATCGCTGGGTGCTGAGAGGCATTGTATCGTTTGCAAAAGCAGATGAGCTGAAGGCAGAAGTCGATACCTCGAAGTATGCAGTGTTTGTCAATGTGCAGCGCTTTCTGACGTGGATCAAGGAAATTACGGACGAAAGCAAACCTGCCGCAAATAGACCAAAACGGATTAGCGAAAAAGGCAAAAATCTTCAATTTCAACGAGAGCATGTTTGTAATGATCATTATTGAATTTCAGAGTGCGATCGATTTATGAGTCTGACTAAAAAAAGAGCAAATGGGATTTGTGCGAATTCTAGATTCCCGCATACGGTAAGTTTGATGATTTGGTTTGAAAACTTCGCATTAAATCGATCATTTTGAAGGTTTCGCTCATCTACCCTGACAGTGAAGCTAAATGTACCGGTTTCCTAGTCAATGAAAATCACGTGATAACTGCTTGTCATTGCATGCGGTAAGATAGAATAAAATGCAATAGAATGTGTGTACAGCTGATTAATTATTGTTTCTTTTAAAATTAACAGTGATAGTAATAAACAGAGGCCTTCAAAAGTACAAATTGATACATATGGTGAGACGGATGTATTGGAAATGACCTGTCACCCAGAATTCAAACCAAGATACGTTTACCATGACCTGGCTGTCGTTAAACTGAACACATCTATCAATCTGTCAAGCAATTTGATTCCGGCATGTTTGGCGAGCAATTGGACAGAGAATTTGTACGACACGCTGCTCCAAACCGGTTTCGGTACAAGCTCATTGTCAGGTAACTGGAAATTGGTATGCTTTTTGTAGCAACTAAAAATTAGCAAGTCAATTTTTGAAGGTACCAAAAAATTCATCGAGTCTGATGAGAATCAGGTCATCACCAAAGAAGAGTGCGATCGACAGCTACCGGAATCAAGACGTGCACCTAACGGTGTCATTTCCGGTCAGCTGTGTGTGATAAACAACGATCGGTTAAGAACTAGCAGTTTTGGTTCCTCCGGTAGTCCTCTGCAGTCTGCCAACAGTCGAACATGTATGTACACGGTAGTGGGAGTAACAAGCTATGGAAACTTGGACCACGAAGGAGTCCGAGAGACGAATATCACTGTGATTGATGTTTACACTCGAGTTTCCCACTATCTGGATTGGATTGAAGAAATCGTCTGGAATGTTGAGCCTCCGATGATAACTACAAGCAGTGCACCATCACTCGGCAATGATTTTGTCTTCCCAGATAATTGAACTGACTAGAACATTCCCAGAGGTTGTGCGCTTTAAAAAACGTATTCTAGAAGACGCAAGTTGGTTAGGGTTCTGGTACCTTCTGACTGAAATGAATCTTAAAATTTTGTAATTGTCCACGCTCTTTCAGGTCTTTCTATCACAGTCCCAAAACTCAACTCGACATTGCACAGTGGTCCACAGGATGGGAATTTGAGGCGAAAAGTAGTCCTAGAACTTTTGTTTTAAAAATAAGACGTTTAGTGCCTTTGGTGAAGTTTTTGCGCTTAACATTGGGGTGATACTGAAATTAATTGATATGCAAAAACTAACTTTGTTGTTTTTGAAAATAAAGACATATGATTTTCAGCAAAGTTGCTGAGTTGTAAGTCTTGTTGAAGAAACAGCTACCACTTATCGTTCTCATTATAGAGTATTTTTTATGAATTGAACAGTAGCTGAAACATTTAGGTTTTAAACTCTAAATATATATGTTTTGTTCACTATTTTATTTGATAAGGCTCAATCAAATCAACTTTCCAGAGCCGAGGTTTCTTGTTCACTATACAAAACATCTTATATACAAACATTTAGCATTGATGTTCTTCGCTCGAACATGCGCGCATCCTGCTGTGTTCTCCTTGATGGTTTCAACCTGCATGGCCTAACGCAAATCAACTCGATACTGAATAGCAACTCTCGGCTGCTTGATCTCGTTCTGGCGAACGAAGCTGCAGGACTGGAATGTTCTATCCTAGAAGCCCCAGAGCCTTTGATTGGCATCGACACAATCATCCTGCGTTGGAAGTTTCTATCAACCTATCTGTTCCTGTTCGCTACGATAACCCCTCTGTTGATGTACATGAGCTCGACTTTCGTAGAGCAGATTTCGTCGCGCTGAGTCAGTTGGCAGTTCCTTGACACGTGTTCATCTATTGATGAAGCCGTCAACTACTTCGCTGAGGTCGTTGGCCGGGCAATAACTAATTCTCTCCCATTGAGGAGACCCTTTCCCAAACCCGCATGGTCCAATGCTCGACTACGGAATTTGAAGCGTCTGAGATCGAAGGCCCTCCGTAAATACTGTAGTACTCGTAACCCATTCACCAAACGATTATTTTCAACAGCGAGTAACGAATATCGCACATATAACCGCATTCTTTACAAGAGCTACACAAGGCGTGTGCAGGCTAATTTACGGCTTAATCCAAAGCAGTTCTGGTCATTCGTGAATACCAAACGAAACGAGGAGGGGCTACCAGTCGAAATTCACTTGGGTGATAGAATCGCCAGCAATTCCCTTGAGAAATGTAATCTTCTGGCAGAACATTTCAAAGACATTTTCAATGACACTACCGCTACGTTGTCCCAAGTTGCTGAAGCGGTGAGGGACACTCCCAGTGATGCTTTCAATTTTTCGATTACCTCGGTTACAGTAAACCTGGTCGAATCCGCCATCAAGAAGCTGAAATTTTCTAATGCTGCTGGCACTGACGGGATCCCCTCAAGCATCCTGAAGCTATGTTGTTCAGAGCTTACAACACCGCTTTCGAAGCTGTTCAATAATTCATTACGGCAGGGGGAGTTCCCTACGCGTTGGAAATCGTCATTCATGTTCCCGATCTACAAGAAAGGAGACAAGAGAAACGTCGAAAATTACCGAGGGATCACTTCACTCAGTGCCTGCTCTAAAGTTTTCGAAATCATCATCAACGACGCATTATTCTGTAGCTGCAGAAATTACAGAAATTTCTCCTGACCAACACGGTTTTTATCCCAAGAGATCAGTTTCAACAAATGTAGCTCCGTTCATTTCTTTATGTCTTCGGAGTATGGAAGCTGGAGCGCAGGTGGACGTTGTATATACAGATCTTAAGGCTGCATTCGACCGGACTGACCACTCCATACTGCTAGCTAAACTTGAAAAACTCGGTGTATCCTCGGGTTTAACTCGTTGGTTCAAGTCCTATCTGACCAATCGGGAACTTTGTGTTAGAATCGGATCAGAGCAATCGGACTATTTTACAAACAGCTCCGGTGTTCCTCAAGGTAGCAACTTGGGACCATTGCTATTCTCGATTTTTGTGAATGAGACCGGACTGATCCTCCCAACTGGTTGCCGATCGTTCTACGCGGATGATGTGAAGATCTATGTGATTGTTCGTAGCTTCGCCGATTGCTTGCGGCTTCAGCACCTAATCGATTCTTTCGAAGAGTGGTGCTCATTAAACTATCTCACGTTGAATGTACAAAAATGTAATATTATCTCATTTCATCGCAAGCTGAAACCAGTGGCATTCAACTATACCATAAATCACCAACTTCTGCAACGTGTGGACAATGTTCGTGACCTAGGAATCACGCTGGACTGCGCCTTAACATTCAAACTTCATTACTCGGGCATCGTTGCGAAAGCTAACAGGCAACTTCATTTTCAAGATCGCTGACGAGTTTCGCGATCCTGCCTGTCTAAAAGCTCTATACTGCTCTCTACCCGAGCAAAGCCGGTAAACAAAATGAAATCAAATCGATATTAAAGTTTGCAGTTGCTATCATAATGAAAACTCATTTTGATTTCAATTGTCACGACATTAGTCTGATATCATATTGTGCTTCCATTATGCAGTCAAGACTTTTTAAATGAAAGCAACTTAACTTGAAGTTCTGCTGTTAACGTCTTGTTTAAATTTAATTTAAGCTCATTTGTCGTTGAACTAACGATTATTGTTTATTTGTTTTGTTTAACGCAATTTAGAACATTCGTTATTTGCCCGGGGTGAGATTTAAGCTCAAGTCTTTCAAAGTGAGAAGCATGGATGCTAACGATTTTAACCAGGCCCGTATTCAGTTAAACATTATGAATGCAAAATCAGAAATCAAATTGATTTCTTTGAAAGCAAGATTAGTTTTCCGTTTGATTCAACAGTGTAAAAGTTTGCTCTTATTTTTGCTGTGTTAACCGTTAAGTCAACCAAAATGAGATCAACTGGAGTATTCAAAATAAGTTACATCATAACAGCAAATTTTGATTTCAATTTGATCTCCAACTTTGCTCGGGTAGTGCGATCGATCTTGGAATTCAGCTCGGTAGTATGGTGCCCGTATCAAGCAGTTTGGATAGCGAGGATTGAATCTGTTCAGAGGATATTTGTTCGGTATGCCTTTCGTCACCTTCCTCGTTGTCAACTTCTGGGTCTTGAAACACTAGAACATAGGCGGACGATTAGTCAGGCCGTGTTCGTCGCGAAAGTACTTATTGGTGATATCGACTCTCCAGGAGTCTTGGCTGAATTCGAAATCTACGTACCCGAACGAGTTCTTCGGTCGAGGAGTTTCCTGCATCTTGGACCTCGTGCTGCGAACTACAGCTTGTCTGGGCGTTTCAACGAGTTTTACGAGTTTTTCAACTTTAACTGTGCAGCGGAAACCTTTCGTCACCGAATTCAACGCAGGGTGTCCATTCAAATCCAATTTTCCAGGTTTTTTCCCGGTTATTTAAAAAAACCAAAAAATCACCGCTGCCTCAAACTAAAAAGGTGTTCAAAAATAACTGTTTATTGTCTCCTGCAAAAATTTAGCCTAAATGCTGTTTTGGTATGTTGAAAAATGCATAAATCAAAACGCAGTATTAAAACACTTAAAATCTTCCAGGAGTTTAGATCTTGAAATTTTTAGGCATATAAAAAACATTTTGTGGGATAAAAAGATGTGTTACCAAAATATTTCAATTGTATTGGAGATATTTTACAGGTTAATACATATCTTGTTCGATTTCCAATTATGAGCATTTTGAATCTACATTTGAAATATAATATAAGATTATCAATACGATGATTCGACTTAATGATAGAATGTTATATTACATCTAATAGTAACTTTAACACTCATGGATCATTCGTGACTTTTCACGGTTAGATTTAAGTTCATGATAATGATGATTACCCCTAGGTTTGAGCTGGATGATTTATCTATAAGATAATCAAGTGCATTGACTTCAGCGTGAGAGGTATGGATTCAGATCTTTATATTTTACAGGCTTATCAAGGTATTCCAGACTAATCTTGCGTACCTGATTAGCACAAAGTGCAGAGATTATTTTTAATTTATTCAATCATTTTTTTTAAGTTCGTTGATTGTGTATGGTGTTGAACATTTGCAGGCCAAGCATGATCGGGTATGCAAGGAGTTTGAAATCGGACATTTTTTTTAATTGGCATGAATTTGCTTTTCTATCTTCAAGTAGCTTCGTGACCGATATGTCTTGGTTAGGCTTAATATTAGCACTACTACACTCGGAAAACTGTAGCAACATAATTCAAAAAATGTTCAACCAATGACAACCAAAATAAATTCTAAAAAAATACTCTGTAAGCTATCTTGGTAGCTCTACATACTCCAACAAGTGAAAGAAAAGATTAGATTTGTTTTGTAATTTTGAGAAATTTTGATACTTTACCACAGTGAAAGAATAATATGAAAATTGTAAACAGAAGTGAAAAGAAATTAATATAATCATGTATATTAAAATAATAATTATTGATTCCATGTAAAATTGCAGTTCTTATAAGGGTTTAAATGATTCTTGAAGACCAAATTATGGCCTACAAGACTATGATAAAACCAAAATTGTAACTTAGGATGAGTATACATTATTTTTCCCGGTGCGATTTGGGTTTTCCCGCATTTTTCCCGGTTTTTTCCCGGATTTCCCGGTTGGATGGACACCCTGTCAACGCAGACTCCTGAGAAGGTGAGTAGCTGTCCATTTAATGTACACGCGAAGGATTGTGCTACCTGTTTATTTTTTGTTTCCGATTCAACTGCATGACGAGAACTTCTACCTGATTCACGGACAACTCTATGCCATAGGAGGATAACTTTTTTTATGCTATAGACTTGATTAATGTTCGTTGTAATTGTATTGTATTATTATGATTCATGTATTTCGAAAAGATATGGGGTTTTTACGCCTTTTCTAGGCTTATCCCTATCAGACTTCATTTAGACACGTTAAGTCCGATGAAGAAAAACAAATTAAACAAATTAAACAAATTAAAACTATGTTTAGTCAAAAGATACAACACAATAAAAACTCTAGCTTTCGCTATCCAAAAAGCCTCCTCCATTAGAACGGGAGCCACTTCCAGTGGTTTCACTGTATGGCAGTATCGCCAACGGGGAGCAGAGCGCTTCCATTGCAGCAATTGACGCAAAACGTGGTCATTACTCACACACTCATCACGAAACGGTTGCTTTCCAAAGTCGACGAC